AAAAACAAAGATTAAGCCACTTAAGATGGATTATGCCAACTGGTTGTGATTATGATGGGCACAGTTTAAATAGTATCTTTTTGTGAGTATTTTCTTGTCTAATAAAGCATTGAAATTCAATTTCTGTGATATGTTTTTGAGGACTTTCTTTTATCTTCCTTTTTTCTTTTTAGAATCTAATAAGTGCCTAGTCTCTTTCATGAACAGAAGTTCTTTAAGGGAAGAGCCTAACTTGTTTTAAAAGAAATTTAATTTGATCTTTGTGTACAAATTGTTTCAGCAAGCATTTATTGAACTCTATGCAGGCATTTGACAACTAAATCTTTCAGGCATAGTCTCCCTCAGGGAGGAAAATTGTTTTCTTTTTTTTACCTTGTGTACTCAAAAATTGAAAACTATAAGCTGGGGATCTAGCTCAGTTGGTAGAGTGCTTGCCTCACATGCACAAGGCCCTGAGTTCAATCCCCAGCAAACACACACACAAAATTGAAAACTACACTTCGGGGTGCAGTGGCACACACCTGAAATCCCAGTGACTCAGAGGCTGAGACAGGTGAATGGCAAATTCAAAGTCAACTTCAGCAACTTAGCCAGACCCTATCTCAAAATAAAATATAAAAAAGGACTGGGGATGTAGCCTAATGGTTAAGCACCCTGGGTTCAATCTCTGGTACCATACCAGAAAAAGAAAACAACCTTAAATTCTCAAGTGTGACAGTTACATCAGAGGCAAAGAGTACTGTATACTAGAATTTTATCTTATTTTTATAGTCTTAATATAAAGTCATCTAAAATTCTCCAATCCATTTTGGAAAAAGACAAGACATAAAATGTAAAGACATCAACTCCCTTTTACTAACAATACTCAATAGCTGATATTACCTCATGCTCCTGTGGGGTTCTTTTTTTGTTTTTCTTTTTGTACTATGGATTGAACCCAGGGGCGCTTAACCACTGAGCCACATCCCCAGCCCTGTTTTATTTTTTATTTAGTATCAGGATCTCACTGAGTTGCTTAGTGCCTTGCTAAGTTGCTGTGGCTGGCTTGAACTTGCTATCCTCCTGCCTCAACCTCTGAGTCGCTGGGATTACAGCTGTGTGCCACCCAGCTCATGCTCCTATTTTGAATGGGAGGAATGTTAAGTAAAATTTAGTCCCAGTGGGGGCTGGGGATGTGGCTCAAGCGGTAGCGCGCT